GTGATATTTGAAGTTGTCAGAGTGTGTGCGTCATGTACTGAAGGTCGCAGGGAGGGCAGCAACAGAGACACAGAGGCAGAGACAAGTCAAGTCAGCGCATTGCTGCATACAAAAAAGGGAACACGGGACAGAGTCTTTCGTTTGCTTTTGTGTCGCAGGAGTTGCCACAGAGTTCTCGAGGGTGTCGAAACTTGAAGCTGTCAAAAGTTATGCTGGCTATATGCAGACGGCCTCGCCCATCGACGTGAGCCAGTGCGTTGCTGTCAACAGCTGCATAGACACGCGCCGGTTCAATATTGATGGCAAGTTTTGAGCCGGCGCCAGGCACAAAGTCAGCGATTAAAAGCGCATTTAAAGGCAACGGCACACCAAAATTGCAAGCTGCAGCAGCAGCAGCGCCAGCAGCAGCAGTTGAATGTGCCCCAAACCGCTGTTCGGCGCACAAATTGCCCCCAAATGAGCCGCCAGCCACGTTCCGCCTGAAAGTATGCTACAATAAAGTGCAGCAGCCCTTGCCCATGTGTGTGTGTGTGTGTGTGTGTGTGTGTGTGTGTGTGTACGTACACCGGTTGTTGCGTGTTTACGCAACGTAACCAAAGTCAAAACCTCGATTAGGATTCAATCTGCTGCGGGCCACACACACACACACACGCATGCTCGCTGTTTGTCCTTGTTGCTGTTGTTGTTGCGCCGCAGGTCAGCAGCAAAGTCAAACCGATTAAAAGGCACACATGCCCAGCGCAATGCTTTTGTGTCCGCCTAGGTACAATGTGAGTGAGGCGTATTCTTCAAGGGGCAATTAACTGCGCTGCGCTCGAGAGTATGCAGCAAAAAACCGACTGCCGCAAAAAATAGTAACTATGTGTGTGAGTGTGTGTGTGTGTGTGTGTGGCTAGCATAGATTAGATTTTTGCCCCGCCACCAAACCAGTAACAAAATATTTAGCACTGGCAGCTGCTGTCGCTGCTGCTGTCGCTGCTGCCGCTGTTGCCGCTGCTGCCGCTGCTGCCGCTGCTGCTGCTGCAGAGGGACCGCAACGTTTGCCCATAAAACAGCCATTAACGCCAGGAGTCCTGCCCAGAGCCAAGTGGTTTTTTCTTCTTTGCTGGCGTTCACTTAAAGCGCTTAAATTTTTGAAAGATTTTGCTTTAGTCGCTGCTGTCAGCAACATGCGCGTCCAATTGCAATTAGCCAAGGTGCAAGAAAAAAAAAAAAAGTCAGAGCCAGCCACAAGTGGGCGAAACGAACACGAAACCAATTTAAAGCAGCTGCAGCGAAAAAAAAGTAACGCCAACGCAAAAACAACAAACAGAGCAAAAAAAAAAAAGAAGAGGAAAATAATAATAATATACTCAAGGCGTCGACGTGAAGGTCTTGGCGCGCGGACCACGCCCAGCTGCTTGAGTGAGCGGCGTCTGCAGCAAATTAATTTCGCCGAGTGTCTTTTGCAGCAGCCCGCGGACATGGCCAAGAAGTCCTTGGCAGTCCAGACGACAGCGACAACAAAGCCGAAGGTAAGCCAACGGATGGCAGCTCGCCTTTCCGCCGCCACCGAGCATCTGCCTCGGCGTATCCACAAGTGTTTGGTGTCTCGGCATTAGAATTTCAATCTGTAGCGCAAACAATTCATTTAGCGCTACTCTGGCACAAGTCTCCATCTCAATCGCGGCCATCATATTCCTGTTTAAACACAAATTGCGGTGCGCACGTAAATCGTTTGTGGCAAATAAAATAAATATGAGAATGAGAATGAGCAAAAAAAAAAAAGAAACGAGTATAAAAAGATTGTAAGCCGCAGCATATCAAATTACCCAAGCAGAGCCAGGCGGATGACAAAGTGCGAGGCATGCGGCATGCGGCATGCGGCATGCGGCAAGGTGTAGCCGGGAAAGTAAGTCAGCTACTTGATAAGTGAATGCCTGCCCTCCGCGGCGAGGGTTGCCTTCACGTTGTGCGGTTGACAGCCGACGCATTTGATGCGATGCTGAAAAATTGTTGCTAATTTTTTATAGCACTGACAGCCCGAAGAAGTTATCCGGCCCGGGACTATCGCATTGCACGGCAGCTTAAGTGAAAATGGTTGGCATTTTCATTTTATTAGAGCTGAATGCCGAAGTAGGTAAACTGGGGCACGGCTCATGTTGAAAGCCGCGCAACACGCCCAACGCAACGCAACAAATACAAATAAATGATTGTCAAACAAGTCTGTGAACTCAAAGAGACTTAAGCTGATGGAGTTTCTACGATTTGAAATATGTTTCGTGCTGAGAGCGCTTTCAATTGTTTTAAATTGCTGTGGAATGAAATGGCAAGGGAACATGTGCTTATACGCAAAGTCCTTTGTAGTTATGTAGTAAATTTGATTTAATTATCTTTTAAAACAGTACGCTTGTGTAAGAGGGACAACCGAGGACTCGTAGAGATGAGCAGCAGCTAAACTACCATTTCATTCCACGACGATAGCGGGATCGAATATGTGACGACCTATCGCGTGCAAGCAAAAGACTCACAGACTTATTTGGGAGAGAGGGAGAGATATACAATTTGCATATGCTCCGCTCTATGCGTAAAAAGGACAATCGACCACTTGCAAACTACGTCTCTTAAGATAACGGGATCGAGCTTTTGGCGACCAATCGCATACAAGCAACAGACTCACAGCTGCAGCTTGCTCACCACTCACTCTTGATGATCAGTTGGGGGGAAAGGGAGAGATATACAATTTGTATATGCTCCGCTCTACGCGTAAAAAGGACAACCGATCACTCGCAGAGACGTTCACAAAGAAAACAACGTCAACTAAGATAACTGGATCGAGCTTTTGGCGACCAATCGCATACAATCAAAAGACTCGCAGCTGCAGCTTGCTGACCACTCACTCTTGATGATCAGTTGGGGAGAGAGGGAGAGATATACAATTTGTATTTGCTCCTCTCTTTGCACTATGAGTGCACAAGCAGAAGCATACCGATTGGCGTACATTAATTCACAGCCGAAAGCCAAGATAACTGCAAATGTTGGGCACATTTAAGTCTTCCTTATTGTGCGCCTTTTGCCTTATTTTATATTTACATATCCTTACCTCATTTGTCGCAACCAATAGGCCACAAACCAACGCACACACACACACTCACTCACTCACCTCTTGAACTCACAATCATTGTTATTGTTGCTGCTGTTGCAGCAGCAGAAGCAACAACTGTTCATTGTCTTGTAAAAGCAGCCGCAACAGCTGCCCAGGCCGCCCAACCACAGTGCCACAGTGCAATTTGAGCAGCCACAGAAAAATGTTGCCAGCATACGTATTTTGCGCAGTGTTTTCTTGCGCACACCCGCACACACACACACACGCACTCATACCCACACAGCTACGGTCGGCAACAGACAAGGCAGATGAACGACTTGAGGGATTTTGCTGAAATGACATTTGGCTCCACATGTGACAGGCAGCCAGCCAGGGCAACAACAACAAATAGCTGCAGCCGTTGGCATTGAAAAAAGCAATTTAAGTCAAGTACAGAAACACACACACACACACGCACAGAGAGAGACACACAGGCAGTCGCAGTAATACACCTACACATAGACACAGAGACATGCAATCACGCACACATGCATGCCAATTGCTTTTGTTGGCTGCGCTGCGTGCTCTACCTCTCCCCCACTCTCTTTCTCTCTCTCTCTCCTGCCATTCGCCACAGGCTCATTCCGTTTGCAAATTTTGATAAATTGCCGCAGTTACCTTTCGTGGAATGGCATACAGTAAAAGAGAGTGAGAGAGAGACAACGTTGCCAGATGTTGTCTGTTGTCTATTGTCTGTTGCCTTGCTCAATGTGACTCAATTTGTAGCGAGGTGAAAGCAAGATAAATGCACAAATCGCAATGAGGCGAGCTTAAAGGAACTCTTAAATAAAGATGGCCACATACTAAAGCCACATACGGATCAGTCTGTGTATATATCTGTATATATCTGTCTCTCTCATGCACTAATTGCGTAATAATAAATATTCTTAAGGCTTATAGTCCACTTTAAGTTTTATTCAGGTAGCTTTATTGTAATCAATCTAAATTGAAATGAAAATCGTAATCAAAACCGAAATCGAACTCAAGAACTTTGCAGATCCGGAAACTTTGTTGGCCAAAGTCAAAATGCCACTCAAACGATAAATCTATAAAATTATTAGAAACGCCCGAGGAATGAAGGAGCAGGAGCACGAATCTGATAAATGGTCTGCCAGGAGTTGAGTGTGTGCGGGGCTAATTGAATTTAATTGCCCACTTAATGGTGCAATGAGCTGGGTGCAAGCACACCAAAAGAAAGTAAAGAAAGTAAATCTTGCGCAAACTTCGTTTTCCCATTTCGATAAACGTGGCGGCAAGGCCAACATCAACCAATTTTATTTGTGTAATTTTGTTGTTTTCTTTGATTTTTTTTTGGATTGGATCAATGCTTTACCTCATATCTTTTCAAGCAATGCCCTTCAATGTGATTCGTTTTTCTTTTTTTATTGAAGCGAAAGTAAGAAACGAATGGATCTTTGGACATTCTTTCTTCCTATTGTTCATCTCATATTATCGCTAATTCTCTTTCTGTCTCATACCCACACAAACATACTATCGTCACTATCTTTTTGTACCCCCTGATTGTCTCTCTCTCTCTTTCTCTCTCTCTCCTTCTCTCTCTCTCCTTCTACTTCTTTCTGCCCCTCTCCCACACTCTCTCTCTCTCTCCTTCAAACTCTCTCTCTGTCTCACTCTTTCAACTTCTTATTCTACTTCTTCTGCCCCTATCTCTCTCTCACTCTCTCTTCCAATCTCCCTCTCCCTCTAACTTTCTCTCTCTCTCTCTCTCTTTATTTCATAATTAATCCCTCTGTCACCTTCAATTCTTCTATTGGTCGATATTGCGGCGGTTTCAGGCAAGGCTTTATAAACATTTGGTCGTTTTCGCGGATAAAGTAGGCAATGGCTACAAAGAGAAAAGTCTTGAGAATATGTATTCCAAATGTTATTATCATTTGTCATTACCAATCTTTCGGCCGATCAGAACGGGGCAAGCACCATGAAGACTGTTTATCTCGAAATCGAGATTAGAATTCATATTGTACCACAAGATCAATTTGCCCTTCTCCGGATGTACCGCTTGTTTTGCACGGGGAAAGATTGTGCCACCACCCCGAGTCACATCATTGAGCTGCGTAGCAAGTAACAAAGTAACAATGGACTAGCCGTCTATATATGGAACCATCATATGGAACTTACGTAAATTAAAATAGTGGCCATGCGGTCGTTCATGGAGATATTTAACAAGTCCATATGAGGGAGATGATGACCCCCAAAGTCATAGTTGAGATACTGCATTTCGTTGGGGCCCGTTCTGCTTATATTCAGATCCGATAGATCTTCAAACTTCTGCTTTATACGCTGCATCACTTGAACACCCTCCGGGGATAGCAATTCTGTATATAAAAAAACGCCTTTTGCAGTTCGAGCCTTTGACACAACATTCTCATTGGGTTTTCTCCTAATTTGGGAGGGACGCAGCAAGGGCTCAGCCGTATTACTTAGATATTCTATCTCCGAGTCGTAGATCACATCGTGAAATACAGCCATGTAAGGATCCTCGGACAACAGTTCCATTTTGAATGGGGCTAGATACAAAAA